GTAAAACTGCTGTACGACAAGGCAAGCTGAAGCAAAAAACAAGGCAAAAAACTCAGAAAGCGGCGAGTCTAAAGTTGAGCACATGATGAACCGCAAGATTCTGAAGACGACTGCCCGAGTTCCTATGCTTCAGCCTGAGGATCAGACTGATCAGCTTCATTGGGCCCAATGGTGGTCTCAGCTCCAGCAGCAGAAGAAGCAGGCTTTGCACTCTGCCGAGCCTCCCTTTCCCTCTGCTCAGCCTCCAACTCCATCCTCTCAGCTTCTTCCTCGGCTTCCTCAGCCTTAAGGATTTCAGCTTCGATTGGAGTGGCATACTTCATGTGAGGGTCTTCGGGATCTTGGACCCATTCAGCACATTTGGACCAGTCCAGCTTCGGCTCAGCATGAAGGCAGACCCTTCGGCACACTCTGAACCCGTTTCTAAAACCCATTTCATACTCTTCTTGGGTATAGATACGGACTTTGAGTAGAGCCTCAGCATCGGCCAACTTCTTCTTCGTCTCCTCCAAGTCTTCCTCGGATCTCTTCAGCTCATCGACGAGCTTGGAGGAGGAGCCTTTCAGCTCGGTAAACTCTTGCTGAACCCGGGAAGCCTCGGCCTGAACTTGGACCATTTCTTCCTTCTTGGCAGTGAGCTGATCCTCAGCCTCTTGTAGCTTAGCTCTTTGAGCTTCAGCAGCAGCAGCAGCCCTTGAGAGTTGGACATCCCTAGCTTGGAGCATCTCTTCAGCAGCCATTCTGCTGGCTTCAAGAGATTCTAGCTGATGCTGCACCTCAGCCTGTGCAGCAGCTCCTTGGATTCGGCTCTCGATAGCAGCCTTGAACTTGGAGGTGTCCACCCCCAGGTGCTCTTGGAGGAATTTTTCCCCTTCCATCAGTGGGGGAAAAACCTCCATCTCCATAGCATCACAGAAGGTTTTCAGAGCTTCGGCAGCTTTTTTACCGTACTCCTCAACCTCCTGCTGCTTCTCTTCAGCTGCTGCCTGCTTCAGCTTAGCAAGCTTTAGCTCTTCCTCGGCTACCCTTTGATCGTGCTCGGCAGCGTCCACCCTATCTTGTAGGGAATCTATCAGCTCTACAGTGAGAGTCTGATTGTGCACGAACTGAAAACAGGGGCACAAGTTAAAAAAGTAAAAAATAATAGCTGAAAGGTTGAGTTCAGAAAGAAATCAAGGCAAGGAAAATTACCTGCATCATCAGCAGTTGGTTAGACCTGGCTGGGTCAGGAACTGATCTACTGGATTCGCCCATCCCAGCAGTGGCCTTCAGCGACCAGATCCTTGCCCTGTCTACTTCGGACATGCCAGCAAAACTGCCGAAGTAGGCTGCAGCTCCTTCTCGGTTTTGACCCCATATGAGGTCCCAGATGTGATCTGGGATTGGAATTCGGGGGGCCGAGAAACCCATTTCTCCAGAATGCAGAGTCTGGAAAGAAGGGAAGGACGACGATGGAGCTTGATTAGCTTTGGTTGTCTCAGCATCGTCCTTCTCAGAGGAGTCAAGTACTATGACCTCCTCTTCTTCAGGGGTGAGGACGAAAGCCTCAACCTCTCTTGCGATATCTGCCGTGAAGCCTTCAGCACTTGACATCACGGCATCTTTATTTCCGTGCTCAGCAGCACTCTCCTTGATTTCTTCTTGGACCCCTCCCTTAGGTCCGGGAGTTCTCTGATCCACCTCCATCTCAGGAGGTGGTGGAGGGGTCTTTTGAGGAGATTGGGGTGTTGGCTGGGGAACCCTCGGCGATCCATTGCCTTCCTCAGGTTCCCTTATTGCGACGCCGATGGTCATCGGCCTCTGCTGAAAATCATGAGGGCCGATGATGGCCATCCTTCGGCGCCTTTTCAGAAGGGGCTGCTCGTCCATATCTGAATCTGAAGACTCTTGTATTTGATCTTCGGGACGAACAGGAGCTTTGCCTTCTCTGTGTCTGTTACTCTCTTCAGACTGTAACAGACAGGGGGGAAGAAGAGTGTGAGTAAAAAAAAAAAAAAAAAAAAAAAGAAAGAAAAAAGTTGTCTAAAAACTCACCGAGGTCTTCAGCAAAGCCTCGTCTTCTTCAGCTGCTCTAGCTGCAGCTTCGGCTTCAGCAGCTCTGGAGGACCCTTCTCCTCCTTCACAAGCTTCAATAACCCGTGCAACCTCTTCGGCTGTACGGGCAGCTTCAGCTTCTTCTTCCAGCAGCTGAAACAAGGGATCCCTCTTCTTCCACCAAGGCTTCTGCCTCTGATACAGAGCAACAGCCTCAATTTGGAAGTGGGAAGAGTCTAGGTGAACCTCTCGGCGCCTTGGTTCAGTGATAGGGGGAGCCCGATCAGTTACGACTCGTTCTCGGTTGACGCCAAGGCGAGCGTAATCAATGCCGATGTTGGTCTCGTCCCGTTCTGAAAAAGAAAAGGGGAGAAGTCAATTCAGTTAGTTCGGCACATCACAAGAAAGCAAAATGAAAGAAGAAAAGAGATAATTAAAAGGCCTCGGCCCCAGCCGAAGAAGATTACCATCCCTAAACTTTCGGCTGAGGCCGACAGCTGCCAGCATATTCTCTTGGAAAACATAGTGCGTATCGGGGAGCCAAGTCTCCGGGATATGCTGCATTCGGCCGCTGCCTCCCCGGTTCGGCAGCTTGCCGAAGATGTTCTGCTGATTAAGGTTCGGGTCTGGCCCGCTATCTTCGGGAGGACCTAAACTTCCCATATCAGGATCCGGCTCGGCAAGATACCGGGGAGCGCTGAAAACATAAGGATGGCTCGGCTCCGTGGGCGCCCTAACCCAAATCCATTGACCTCTCCAGTCCTTGTCTGAAGAGTCGTTCGGCCACATGGTTAGGAACGGGGGCCGAGACTCAATCCGATACCACCCAGAACCATGGCTTCCGTGCCCACTCTGAATATTTGGCACTAGCCGATGGAGCTTTCTGAAGCAGTGCAGGTTCGGCACGTATCTGAAGAATTTGCAGACCCATAAGTACGTCATTACCCTTCGGATGCTGGTGGGGGTCAGCTGGCACAGGGAAATGTTGTAATGGATCAGCAAGTCTCGGACGAATACGTCCAAAGGGAACCTCAGCCCATACTGAAGCTGTCTCGTGTACACCCCCACATACCCCGGGGGTGGACGATGGATTCTATCGGATGCTGAGGGCATTCGGCACCAATATCCATCAGCTTCAAAAATGCCGTAGTGCAACTCAATTTGCTCAGCAAATCGATATTGATCGGCGTTCTCTACCCACCATGAGTAGGGACGGTTCTTTATCATGGCCGAAGCTACTTCGGCATCCTCCCACTCTGAAAACCCTGGGAGGATATCCCAAAGGACAGCGGGAACTTCATCATCCCGTCCTGAAGCTCTCACCCCCTCAGCCCTCTGAGGAGGAGCCGAAGAAATGGGAGTCGCCCTAACCCCTTCAGCAGGGTCAGACTCTGTCCTTCGTCCATTCCAGGTCCCAATCCTGACCCTGGGATCGGGGATTAGCCTTGCTCTTCTTGGAGCACGGGCTCCACCTCTAACTCCCCTCACCATTGACGAATTTCGAAGGAAAAAGTCGAAAAAGGGGAAAGAGTGCAAAGTCGAAGAAAGATGAAATAAAATCAAAGGAATTTACCTTGATCTGAAGCAAAAGCCGCCGATTTACGAATTGGTAGTGACAAGTCTCAGCTTCTAAGCTTAATGCTCGGGGAATTTGCGAAGTTTTGATGCGGGCTCTTGAGCGTTCTTGAGAATTCTGGGTTTGTGTTGATGAGTGAGTGGGGAGAGAAGACGCGCCTCTATTTATATCTCCAGAAATGGGAATTCAAGGAGTCTGCGTTTCAATTTCTCTCAAGCACCCCACTAAGTAACCGTTAAACACACAACCTTGCAGTTAAATCGCCCACTACCCGTCCAACTTCCGCAATCATCCACATTAACTGTTGTTATCTCATTAATCATGGGTTAATTACGGTTTAAATTCACATTTTTGGATCAGCAAATCATTCACTTCCCTCCTTTTCTGGTTAAATCAAACCCGACCCGTCATCCTTCCAAATCGGGTCTGGGGGGCAAGTTGTTTGGGTCCAATTTAGTCCAATTGGGCCTGGTCACTGAATGATCCAATTAAAAGCCCAAGGCAAAGGTTCAACTCTCCAAATATGCTAAAGTCAAAAATCAACATCCTCAAAGCCATGTCAAGGTCAGTCAACGGCCCAATCAGCTTGGCCCAGCCCAACTGATTTCCGGGCCCAATCCGCCTCCTTCATTAGCCAAGGTATAAAAGCCAACAATTTGGTCAATTCTTGGTAAGACGAAGACAAAGACAAAAAAGCCTCAAGCAACTAAACTCTTGCACAGCTTTCTCTCTCTAATATACTGACTTAAGCATCGGAGGGGCCTTCCTCGGCGTCCCCCCCGAGGCTAGTTTACGTGTATTTGTTGTGCAGGAAACCCTCGGCTCCTGCGTCGTTCGGACCGAGACCAAGTTCCCTCAAGATAAAAGGATCTTCCGAGATCCGATTGTTTTCATCCGAAACACTTAATATATTATAGTTTCTATAAGACTATAACCCTCATCAGTTACCAGTCTTGCCACCATCTTGCACACGCTACGGGCAGCACAAATCTTGTGTCTCCTTTAACAGGACAGATTAGCTCATTTAATCACATAACCAACTCTAATTAATTCATTATTTAATTATTTTTTAGAACAAACTCTAATTAATTAGCATTAATGCACACCAAAACTAACTTTTGAGAAACAAGAAAAACCCCACTCGTTTCACACAAAAAAATCACTGCTGCTAACACTCTTTTCAATCCCCTTAAAATTTACCAACCATTTTTAATAATAACGTTTTGTTTCCTTAATTACAACTTTTAATTAATTAGTATCTCATAATAATCATATTAACCTCGCCAAACCCATTCATGAAACAAACGTGGACCTCTCTTTCCATCCCCCTTATAATCAAATCCATCCCCTGCCATTCTACTCACACCGCTCTTATCATTCTTTCTTAGCTATGCCAGACCACCATGATGGGCGTCGCAAGCTCGGGAAGCGAGCCTCTGCCGCTGTCTCGAGTGATCAAGAGGGTCCACTAGCTCCTTGTGGTGCTTGTAAGTTCCTAAGGAGGAAGTGTACTAATGGGTGTATTTTTGCACCTCATTTCGGGTCTGATCAAGGTGCAGCGCGTTTTGCTGCTGTTCATAAGGTGTTTGGTGCTAGTAATGTGTCTAAGTTGTTGCTTCATATTCCTATGAATCGGAGGCAGGATGCTGTTGTTACTATATTGTATGAGGCTCAAGCTCGGCTTTCTGACCCGGTTTATGGTTGCGTCTCTACTATCCTTGCCTTGCAGCAACAGGTGAAACTCTACTCCTTTATGCTTAATATCTTAGCATTTACTCCATGTTGCATACAATTAATGACTAATAGACTCGAGTCAGTTGGGAGATAGACTTCTTTTTCCCCCCTTGTCAAAAAAATTATAAAACTGATGTTGCATAATGTCTTGCATATGTGTGTCTACACACAGCAAATTTCAACTCATTTCAGCACTTGTTGTTACGAGAGGCATTCATGAATAAAAAGGTTATAAATAAAATTTGTGCATAATAAACATGTTCTATGTTCATATTCGAGTCCGTAAGAGAGTAATTAATGTGAAAATGATAATTATCATACATGAAAAGAGTGTTGCATTTTCTTCCTCTTAACATTTTGTGACGCATAATACATGCAAGCAACCCAAGGTTACATAACGTAAGAATGTACCATTTAATGTATTTCTGTTTCAAAAGTAGGTGTCTTCTATCAATAATTTGTAAGTAATTAATTTATATATAACTGATCAAGCACAAGAATAAAGAGTTTGTTTACTAATTGGATTGGTCCAATAATTGAACATGTTTTCCTCTGTATTAATTTATTGAATAAGTTACGGGGTCTTGGGAAAAAAGCGTGAACCATTAAGAACGAGTATAAATTATTGAATATGGAAAGTACGATGTAGCATTTGGATTCGGTGTTAAAATGATATATATTTATGTAACACGACTTTCATATATTGCTAAAAATTTCAGGTAGCAACCTTACAAGCAGAGTTAGCAATGGTACAGAGCCAAGTAATCAACAGCCGATTGGCAATGGCAAACGCTCTTCAAACCTCGCAACAACAACTAGGCAATGGATACGAAGTAATGCATCTTCCTCTTAACCACCATGTCCATCATCAGCCTGCCTACTCGAACAATTCGTCTGCTTCAAACAACCTCCTTAACATGAATACTAGTGCAACTACAACTGGCTATGTTTCTTCTACTTATAATAATGACTTTTCTGCTGTTGCTGATGCTTCTACTGCTCCGTCTCCCCATAGTCTTGACCTTCTACGACTGTCTAGGCCGTCGCAGGATGATGATGAGGACGACGAACAGATCAGCCGCAACCATATTGCCTTCGCCAACCACCTCATTCATTGATTCAACATCATCTAATTGGGAGTAATAGCTGACATTTTATGTCCCATCTTTGATCATTAAACATTTTATTTCTGTTTTATTTTGGTTTTATGTTTTAGTTCTCTTTACTTAATTAAGTTTTATTTCAAGGGATGATATAATGAGCAAACAGGACATTTGAATTAACAAAGTCATGCTTTCAACGTTTGTTCTTTAGCTTGCACAATTTATTTATTAAAAAACGATTTTTAGCTAAATATATGTTTTAAAATAATGTCTATGAAAAATATTGTAGACGTTATTGTTGTTGCTTCTTTTTTTTTTTTTTTAATTTTTTTATTTATACAATGAGAACTTCATTAATAAAGGGCAAATTACATTATTATTTTAGTTTTCTTAGGTAGACATTATTGTTAAATATTCATTTGGTTGACAATAAAATTTTGCACAATACATTCACATATTATTATCATGACCACTAGTTAGTATAAACTAAATTAGGTACCGTGTCATGTACGGTAATTTCATGACACTTAGGGCTTATTCTGATTTATTGAGTTGAACTGAGATGTATTGAATTGTTTATGAGAGAACGAAATTAAGAATTGAACTGAACTCAAATTGAGCTAAAGAGAAAGGAAATTATATTTATTCAATTAGTTTTGCAAAAGATAGTGAGATAACACACATAATATTATGTAAGAGTCAGTAGACAAATGAGTATATTATTACCACGTCTTAGAGTGCGTTCTATTCACCTGATTTTTACTTATCTGAATTTATCTAATCTTATCTAATTAAACTTATCTGATCTTATCTGAACTAGTCTGAACTTATTTAAACTTATTAACCCATATTAGAACTTATTTTAGTTATAAATTAAACTTAATTGGGTAGCCCTGATTAACCTTTATCACAATTTATCTGAACTTATTTTTCCTGAACTTATCTTATCTGAACTTATTAACCCTTATTAACTCTGAAATAAGTGGAAATATGGTTAATAGAGCAAGGCCTTAGACAATATAATTAATTCCTTGTTTAGTTCACCTTATTTTTACTTATTTCAGAAAAAATAAGTTCATATAAGATCAGATCAGACCAGAAAAAAATAAGTTTAGATCAGATCAGAAAAGAAAAAATGAGTTCAGATCAAATCATCATTTTATGTGCAGTTTTTTTTATTGCTGAATATCTTTGATTTCGAAATGAAAAAAATTATGAAAATCACATATTAATCAAATACACATTATTAATTATTGCTGAATATCTTTATTTTCTTTTAAGTTTTTAATTTTGTTTCTTAGGTTACAATAATGTCTCCCTCGAAAGAAAGGGTTTATCTCCTTCGAAAGACAAGGTTTTTTCGATCTCCTTCGAAAGACAAGTTTTTTCGAACTCCTTCGAAAGACAAGGTTTTATTTGTGCTTAATTTGGTCTCTGGTTGTGCGGGGCTACTATTGATTATGGCCCGGATTCGGGTTACGGAATCAACACTTCTTTCTCCCAAAATTACGAAGCGGCAACGGATCCACTCAAAAAGTTGTATGAGACAACGAACCGAGAATGTGCCGAATTGTTATATTTATGTATTTGGATTCGTAGCCCTTCCTCGATTTATTCTTGTTTGATTTTGTTAAATTCGTTTTCATTATCGTTAATTGTCAATTGTAGATGCCGTATGGCTATTATTAATGAAATTTAATATCCTTTAGGACTTGTTTCAAAAAAAAAAAAAACACATTATTATGAATCTAACAAGACCCCACTCGATATATTTTTTCCGTATAGATTATCATATATTTAAGGTAAGAGTTTTGTCAGATCAAATCATATTAAACTAGATCAGATAAGTTCAGATAAACAAAAATAAGGTGAACCAAACTAACCCTAAGTGTTAAAAAAATCGATGATAATTTGGTTACACCTAGTAGACAAGTGTAACCATGATTTAATGATAATAAGTAATAACCCCATAGTATGAAAATATGAAAACATTATTTATATATATATATATTAAAAAAAAAAGAAACAAGGAAGGAAAGGAAGGGGAGGGATAGATGAGGAAGGGAAGAGAGAAGAAAGAGAGAGGGAGGTAATTAGGTAAGCTCCATTTTTCCTTCGAATCCCTACAAATTTGAAGGGATGGATTATGCTTATTAAAGAGAGAGGGAAATTGGATCCTTCCCTATATTTTCCCTTCCTTCCCCCTAATCCTTCACCCAAAAAAAGAGTTTGTCCCCTTTACTTTCTCGACATATTCTTACATGCATCCTCATGCATATAAGAATAGCCGCAACACATTGAAACGCAGCCCATCTCAAATCATACAATCCATAATCATCTCAGCTCTAACGTTCTTCCTGCTTATATTTTTGGTTTTCTTTTTCCTAATTCGCTCTCTTCTATTTTCTTTCTTAATTTTCATCAAACTTTTTGATCAAAAACTTCTTTCCAATTTTTCTTCTATGTTTTTTTCTCCTTCCTTCTTTTATTTCTCTCTCCTCGGTTTTTATATTTTTCTTTTTTTTTTTTTCGATTTTTTGATTGAATTTGTTCCTTACAGTGTGGAAATGGTTGTTCATCCCAACAATATTGTTAATGAATGTTAGTGGCTTGTTTTGCGATTTGTAATTAGGTTTTTTTAGGTTAGTTTCAATTGTAATTGTTTTTTGTTTGATTTTTGGTTAGCTGCGATCAATTTCAATTTATTATGTTTCAATTGTAATTGTTTCGATTTATGTATGAATTTCGGTTTGTTATGTGTTTAATTTGTACTTAATATCGATTGATTATGTTATATATGGTTTTCTGAATTCATATGAATTGAATTTTGTTAGCTTCGATCAATTTCATCTGATTTTTTGCATTTTTTTATCAATGAACATAATCATGCAAATATGAACATATGCATAGGTTCTCTTAAGTGTGAACATTAGCTTTTCAGAAAGTGACACATAAGCATAAAAAATATGAACAAATGCATTTTAGAAAGTGAACATAACAATTCAATATATGAACGTAACCATTGGTCTCCTTAAAGTGAATATAAGCATTTAAAAGGTGAACATATGCGTAAAAATATGAACATATGCAGTTAAGAAAGAGAACATATGCATAAACAGACTTAATGAGAATATTTCATGAACAACACATATTTATATCATGAATATTTGAAATTATCTATGAACCTATAAAAATATTATTATGAATATAAGGCATTTAATTATGAACATAAAAATTGAAGAAATAAAAAATAATATGATTATGAAACATATGCATTATAAGTATTAAAAATATATACATATTAAAAAAAAATTTGAATATTTAAAATCCAAAAAAAGAACATAATCATGCAAAATATGAACATATTCATAGGTTCCCTTAAATGTGAACATTATTAGCTTTTCATAGAGTGAAAATAGGCATACAAAAATATGAACATATGCATTTTAGAAAGTGAATATAATCATTCAAAATATGAACATAAGCATTGGTTTCCCAATATGATTATGAAACAAAAAAGTCGACATAGAGTATCAAAAAATTTGGACGAAAATTAACCACAAAAGTCAGTGATATTCATAAAAATTTACATAAATTCGTTTAAAAACTAGAGAAAATTTACCTTTTAGGACAATCCTTTTGATTTTGCATCTCTTTTCGTATATCCTTTGTTGATTTTTCAGTTTTTAGTGAAATAAAATCATGTAGAGGAGAGAGAATGGAGTTTGGAGAGAGAAAATCAGAGAAATTAATTGCAGAATTTCATTTTTGAAAAATTAATGAGAACTAAAAAGTTTTTGTTTTTATTTTTTTTAAAACAATAAATTGAAAACCAAAATATGGAGTTGGAGTGGGTCGCATTTGGGAAGTGAAGGTTTGGGTTGGGTCGCCTTTTCGTTTTGGGGCATTTAGGCGAGTTTAGAAACTGGGATGCTTCTTTATTGGGCTGGTGTTGCATATATCCTAGCTGCATAAGGATGCATGTAGACCAATTTCCCTTTCTATCCAAACAAGATGTAAATGTATATAATGTTAATTATGTTGTTATACTCCCTTTGTTTTTATGTTATTCACATTAAGATTGGACAAGAAAGCATTTAAAGAAACAAATTTCTACTTTATAATAAAAAAGATAGTCTAATTAAAAAATTGAGAAGCTAAAGATTGCATCAGAAGATAAATTATTGTGCATTTTATTTACTTTGTGACAGTGGAAAACACTAAGAATATTTTGAAATTTCGTAATAGAAAATATTAGAAGAATAAAATAACCAAATGTTATTATGTTTATGTAGTACCAATTATAGTACATAGAAGTGAGTTTATAAAGTGACCTTTTTTTTTTATTTTTTTATTTTTTTTATAGTAGTTTATGAACCGACTCAAACTAACATGATTTTTTTTTTGAAACCCGTTTAATGTATTTTATTAATCAATGGACAATTTGTCCATTAGAGCATGAAGGGATATAACATCGGGGTAAAAGTTTTCCCAAATCTGTTCAACACCAAACGGGGAACTAGACTAGCAAGGTGATGGGCAACGAAATTCCCATTCCTGCGCACATGTGACCACGAAACAAAATTCAGACTAGAGCTAAGATGAAAGATATCATCAAGAACATAATTAAGGTCTGTAAAATGAGCTACCGCTTTTGAAAGACGTGAGATAGCAAGCACAATCTGATTCAAGGATAATAGTCTTCCATCCATAGCGTAGAGCAAGCTTAATACCAAAGTGCACAGCCTTGCACTCAGCAACCTCCGGAGGCCAGTAGCCACGTACTCTGCGCACCCCTGCAAACAACAACTCCCCTGCCTCGTTTCTTGCAACAGCACCAAGACCAATCCACCCATCATCTTTAAGGCACATATCACAGTTTATCTTGACAAAATCAGGTGGAGGGGGCAACCATTTCTTCGGGCTCCTGCACTTCTTACTGCGGACAACACCATATATTTGCTGCGAGTATTTACCATAGTCTTCAATCAGACGCATAACTGTATCCCGAACCA